ACCCAATGAGAGGGCAGCAGAGCGAGGGGAGGTGGGCGGGGTCGGGTCGAACTCGCTGGACGGAAGTAACCTCGCGGTTAATTCCGCGACTGCCGTCCCGGCCGGCGTGCGGTGCACCCCGAGACCAGCCTCGCTCGGCGCGGGTCCTGGGGGAGGGGTGTGTACCCAAAATAAGCAATGGCCCCGCGGCCCGTGCGGCGCTAATAGGGAAGAGGGGGGTGGAAGTGAGGGGCTAGCGTTCGGAAAGGGCAGCGGTCAGGAAAGGACTCCTGGAGGGGAGACACTTACACTGAATCTTAAACTCTCCGGAAGACCTTTCCAAGAGAGGTAAATAATTAGAGTAAGGCCATTGCGGAGCGAAGCCCGCGCGGGGGTTGGTTGCGGGACTTGCAGCCGGAGTACAACCTGGAGCGTCGGGAAGCGAGTGCCTGGCGAGGGGTGGAAGGGGCCCTGCTCTAGGCCACATCGAGGGGATCGCTTTTGATTCTATTAATCAAACGTAGGGGGGCGGGCGATGGATGATTCTCTCTCATCATTGATGTTTCTATCTCTCCCTCTCCCTTCCTCTCTCTGAAATCAATTTTTAAAAAAAACAAAGAATACAAAGCGATGTCAGGGCTACTGAGGCGAGTTTTGGGACCTCAGGGACAAGTATCAGCAAGGCCCTTCTCTTTTCTCTTTTACTTTTTTCCCACTCATTGCCTCTACACACGTCCATTTCTGTACCTCTCCTTAACACACTCTTTATACAAATTTTCCAGTATCCAGGATGCTTTCCCCTGGAAAGGTACTGTTTTTAGTTTATCTGTTTTTAATATCCATGAATGTTCTTATGCTAACTCATAAGAGATTTGTTTTGTTTTTCCCTCAACATAGAGATCTATCCATGAGGCTATATATGTATATATTAGGAGTTCATTAATTCCTACCACTGATGGCACTGGATTTGTGCATCTAACACATTTTACTTATCAGTTCCTTAAGTAACGGCCAGTTAGGTCACCAGCAGTTCCTTGTTGCCACAGACAATGCTGGGATGGGACACGTCTCTTACAGACCACAAGAAAAATGGAATTGCTGGGTCATGGCGTCCACAAGTGCCTAGTCTCACTCTGCCACGTTGCCCTCCAGAATGGCTTTGTCACTTTGCACTCCCACCAATGACACATAAAGGTAGGAAGATTCCTGTTTCCCCATTCTATACAGTAACATTGGGTATTATCTGATGTCCTAATTTATATTGATCTGATATTGATAGAGTAATATCACATTGTAATTTTCATTTGTATTTCTTTGATGGTTAGTGATGTTAATTATTTTTCCATATATACTTAAGAACCATTGAGATTTTTTTCTTCTGTGAAGTGCCTATTGACATGCTTGGCCTATTTTTCTGCTCGATTTCCTATAATTTTTTTCTGAATGAACTGAAGGAGTTCTTATATATTCTTGGACATTGCAAATATCTCCCAATCTTTCATGCATCCTGTTAACTTGGTATTTGCTGTCTTACAGAATAGGGGAAATCCTTAATTTTGGTGTAGCCAAGTGCATCAAATTTTAGCCTTGCAGAGTGTGCTTTGGGGTCTCATTTAAAGGATCTTTTCTACCCATGGTCGTAAAATATTCTCCTACATTTCCCCTATTTAACTTCGTACTTTTACCTATCACAGTTAGTTCTGAATTCATTCAAAGTAGGAATACGATATTATTTTCACTACAGGAGCCAGTTTTCCCAGCAGTACCCACCAAACAATCCATCTTTTCCGCACCAATTTGTGCTGGTGTCTGGTTTGTATGCCAAGTCTCCATAGACACATTTCTGGGTTCTTGTTGCTGTTCTGGTGACCTAGTCCAGTTCTTGTACCAATGCTGCACTGTCTTGCTGCTATGGCTCTGCTATATATGTCCTAATATATGGTGGAGTGGGTCCTCCCACTCTTTGCTTTTTTTTTGCTTTTTTTTTTTCAGTATTGCCTTTGAAGTTCAAAGCAAAAAAAACCTGTCAGAGTCAGTGGTTATGCCAAAACTGAAATTCAGGTTTTCTAATCCCTATTCCACTAAGGAGGGAAAGCAGAAAGGGGTATATCCTGATGGGATCAGGACAGATAAAAGGTGAAGTGGGAGAAGGGGCTTAGCAAATACCTTGCAGCTTCCCTTTTCTGTCAATTTCTGAAATTCTCCTCCTTTCCCCCTTGATTCGTAACTTATACTGAATAATATTTGCAAACTTTACCCTGTTTCAGCTAAGAAGTATTATTTCCAATTTGGATTTTGTAACAGCATCACCTGAGCTTTGATGACATTCTTAATGACGACTGATTGAGTACAAAAAGACGTAGCTTTAATGTTGGCTGTTACAGGGCAGGAGGTTGATGAAGGAAAATGTTCCATTTGATGACTGGAATCTATGACTGTGGTGGAAAGAGCCCACCGGTGCCTGGCTGCCAGGAAACCAGAGTCCCAGTCCTGACTCTGCCAGTAACACGCAGTGGAACAATTCCTGGAGCCTGTTTTCCTTACCTGAACTGCTGTCTTAAGACTCGTCTCAGTGTGCCCTAGAAGCAGCCTAGTGTTATTTACCAAACAACATTTTGGAGGTTTCTATTTTCCTACTTTTCTTACATCTTTCTGCTGAAGAGTCTTAGAGACATGATCAACTGTCTTGATCACAGTACCAGTACCTATTACTATCAAACTATCAAGAGATTAGCGTATCTGTCTCTTGATGTATTCAAATGGTCTAGATCTGAGACAGCTATTTCTACACGTCAACCAACGTGCTCAAACAGTTTTGAAAAGCACCCTTAGTGATGTCTAAGTGGTGATGAGCTGCACTTTAACAAGCTGGTAGTCATGTAGGTGGAGAGAATATACTAACTATAGCATCAAAATTAAGTATTTCAAAGCCTTCATGAGTAGCCCGGCAGGCGTGGCTCAGCGGTTGAGCATCAACCTAGGATCCAGGAGATCAGGGTTCAATTCCAATCAGGGCACATGCCTGGGTTGTGGGCTCGACCCCCAGTGGGGGTCATGCAGGAGGCAGCCGGTCAATGACTCTCTCATCATTGATGTTTCTATCTCTCTCTGTCCCTCTCCTTTCCTCTCTCTGAAATCAATAAAGATATGTTTAAAAATATATATATATTTAATAAATTAGTGAATCAGTTGATTACTATGAGAGGCAGAATAATGGTCTCCCAAAGATGTGCACATCCTAATTCCTGAACCTGTGACTATGTTAACATATATGGCAAAACGGACTTTGAAGATGTGACTAATTGAGAAATCTTTAGGGAGGAGAGACTATCTTGGATTATCTAGGTGAGCCCAATGTGATTATAAGAGTCCTTGTGAGTGAAAGAGGAAGGCAGGAGGGTCAATGTCTGAGTGATGTGAGGCAAAAGAAACTTCACTGGCCATCGCTGGCCTTGAAGATGGAAGGAGCACCACAGCAGGCAGCCTCTAAAAGTTGGGAAAGGAAAAAGCCAAACACTGAACTCTCCTAGAGCCTTTTGATGGAAATGCAGCCCTGGTTAGTCCAGTGAAACCCTAGTCTAACTTCCAGATCTCTGAGATAATACATTTGTGTTGTTTTGTTTTTGTTTTTGTTTTAATATGTTTTTATTGATTTCAGAGAGAGGAAGGGAAAGGGAGAGAGAGCTAGAAACATCAGTGATGAGAGAGAATCATTGATTGGTGGCCTCCTGCACACTCCATACTGGGGATCAAGCCCACAACCCAGGCATGTGCCCTGACCGGGAACTAAACCTCGATCTTCTGGATCATAGGTAGATGACCAACCACTAAGCCACGCCAGCTGGGCCATTCTGTGCTCTCTTTAGTGTCTGAGTAGATGGCAGCTGGGGACACTTGCTGCAGAGCTCCATCTGCAGCCCCAAGCTAACTTCCCAAAGTCTGCCCCCATGTCAGTAGCTGCTCCCTGTAGCTCCCTTCTCTTCAGCTTGAGTCTGGGCAAATAGATTAGGTTCCTAGTGGGCCACGTCTGTTGGAATCTGCCCACCACCTGACACATAGTTAGCAATAGTAGGGCTCTATTGATGCTTATTGAGAAAATGGAAAGAGAAAGAGGGAAAGGGCAAGAAGGATAGAGCAGAGAGCACTAAATTGCAGAATAGAAGATCTACCCCCATGGTCCAAGCCACCATTATTTCTCAACTGGATTAATGGAGCCTCTGCTTCTGCTCTGCCACTTTTAAAGTTGCTTCCAACACAACCAGACTGATCCTGATAACACAAGAGTCAGACCCAGTCACCTTCAGCTCTAAACCAGGGCTTCTTAGCCTTGTTTCTATGTGGGCCCGGTACTTTGTTGGGAAAGAGGAGAGATCTTGCATTGTAGGATACTTAGCAGCACCCTGGCCTCTACCCACTAGATGTCAGTATCCTCTCCTCACCCCCACCCCTAGTTGTGACCATGGAAAATGTCTTCAGATGCTGCCAAATGGGACATCTAGGAACAATTCCTCATCCCCCAATGGAGAACCACTGCTATGAGGTCTGCAGTAGCTCCCCATCTCACGCAGAATGTCTTCCCACATCCTCTCTGACTTCAAATCTTCCTATTTTCCCCCTTCCCCACTGCTTTTTTCATGCACCCTGGCCTCCTTGGTCTTTGCAAACACTGGCCATATGATCCCGATCAGGGCCATGGAGCCCACCATTCCCTGTGCTTGCAATGCTCTTCCATTGGACTTTCAGATAGCTCACTCCATTGTGTCCTTCAGGGTGTTACTCAAATGGCACCTTGGTGAGGCCAGCTCAGGATACCTTTTACAAAATTAAAACCCTTCTGCATTAAGTTTGCTAGGTCCTCCTAGCATAATACCACAGACTGCATGACTTAAACGACAGCAATTTATTGGCTCACGGTTCTGGAAGCTGGAAGTCGAAGATCAAGGTGCATGTCCTCACATGGTCTTTTCTGTGTGTGGAGGCATCCCTGGTGTCTCTGCATGTCCAGGTTTCCTCCTCTTATGAGGACAACAGTCACATTGGGTTAGGGCCTGCCCTAATAGCTTCATTTTAGCTCACCTCTTTAATGGCCCTGTCTCCAAATACAGTCACATTCTGAGGTACTGTGGTTAGGACTTCAAGATATGAATTTTTGGGGACATAATTTAGGCCATAACACCTGCCATCACCACCACCAGCACTTGTCAGTCTAACATTCTGAATATTCATCTCATTTACAGTCTTTCTCCCCTCCCCGCTACATTCTCAATGACTAGAATGATGCCTAGTACATAGTAGGTGCTCAGTAAGTATTTGTTAAAGTAATGAATAGGCACAGCTTCTCCACTAAGTAGCTGTAAACTTGGGGAAGTCACCTAATTTCTTTGGGCCTCAGCTCCTCTGTCAAATGAGGGAATTAGACTAGAAAATAGAACCAGAATTCTGTTCTATTTGAATCTAGATGCCGACTTAGCCCAGATTCCCTAGAAAACAGTCCAAGGCAAAGCTTAAGTGCTAACCCTTCCTTGGGAGGTGCCACCCCAGGGCAGCCAGGGAGAAGGGAGGTGGGGCAAGATGGGAAGCAAATACAGGGCGCTGGCTGCCACGCGGGCCCCCAGTCCACACACAGGCACAGCCAGGTGCTCGACCTCACAGGACACCTCTAGACAGGCTGTGCAGAAGCCTGGGCCGGGAAACTCTCCAGGGGAAGGAGGCAGGGAAGGCTCCTCCGGTCTTGATCAAAGTTGGTTCCTTGGGGAGTTCACCCGCCTTCTCTTTAGCGGTCTCTGGGGAAGCAGGCCCCGATCCCTCGGGAGGACGGCTGGAAGGGTTAGCCTCAGACTGCAGGGCCAGAGAAAGGAGGGTAATCAGGACAGCAATCCGTGTCCCCAGGGCTGAGCAAGTAAGTGGCTCAGAGCCTAGGAGACAGGTGAGACCCAGAGAATCTGACACGACCCAGGACAAGGGAAGGAAGAGGTGAGGAGGGAGACAGTGGAGTGTCTGGGACAAGGATCGGGAGAGTGGGTGGGAAGCACCGATGGGCTCCAGCAGTGGAGGTAGGCTCTGGGCCCAGCAGGCAGGGCGCTGGGGTGGCCTTGGGCCTCGCAAGCTGGATGGAATTGGTTTTTCTGAAGTCCTGATGGGGACTCCATGGCCCTAGCAGCCTGGCTCCTGAGACTGTTTTGGTGGGTCCTTGAAGAGGGCGCCCAGCCTCCTTACCTACATGGTCAGACTCCAGGTGTCTGTAGTGATGGAGGGGCTCTGATGTCCTAGACCGGAGACCCTTGGGCTTGCAGCCAGGGAGCTGCTTCATCTCCCAGCCCTCCTCTGTTTTTGCTGCCTGAGCCCCTCTTCTGATGTCACTTTGCAAACTCTTCCTAAACTCCAGCCTCCCCCTCAGCTGTCTCTGGAGGGAGAAAGAATGTTCACTGCCAAGACTCCCCTCCTCTGAGAGGGGGTGTTTTTCTCCTGCGTGGGCCGCGTGTGTTGGGTTGTGCCCCATCTCGAGGGCAGATTCCACCCTCCAGAGGTGATGATACACACTGGGAGCAGATTGCACACTTGTCTCCTGGGAGGCAGTGGGCGAGGGAAACATACACGGTACGTGAGCATGGGGAGGGGGTGTCTGCAGAACCGTGATGGGGTGATGGGCCCAGAGAGCAGGGAGCTGTCTGGCTGACTCGGCTGACTGTTGCCTGTGTGCAGAGCAGCAGGAGGCTGATTATAGGCCTGAGTCCCCGAGGCCGTGGATGTGGGTGCAAGGAGCTGGTACGCACTTGACTGTCAAGGTGGGGGTGATGGTTACCCTGGTGACCAGGCTAGGAAAGTGGGTTGGCCTTCCAGGCAAAAAAGCTGAAAAGAAAATATAATAAGCACTGATTAAGCTTCTCTCTCCCTCTTTTCTTTCTTCTTTGGAGCACAGGTTAGATGGAGCCTTGTCATCATAAATAAAGGACAACTTCCAGTGGTGGCCCATCATATCCTGTCTGGTTCCTAGTAAACACCTCTCTCCACACCTCTAAGCCCACTAGGCTGGCACAGAAGACCTGGCTCTGAGTCCCCACTAGCCCTGGGACCTGGGCAGGTCACTCCCCGTCTCTAGGCCTCACTCAGACCATGCAACCTCCAAAATGCCTTTGTATGCTGGTTCCTGGGCCCCACCCCCAGACATTCTGATTGGGCAGATCTGGAGCTGCACTTGGGAATCTGCATTCTAGCCCTTCCCCCTCCACATCCCCAGGTACTGTCACCGTGGTGGCACTGAGAGCACAGGCATGGAAATCAGACACTCCCAGGTACTTACCTCAACTCTGCTGTCTCCTTGGGTGGTTTATCTGTAGCCCATCTGAGCCTCAGTTTCCTCACCTCTATAATGAGGAAAGAGGACTGGCAGCCACACCGCATTATTGTGAGAATCAACTGAGACGGTCACAATGCACAGCAGTGCCCGGCGTGCACTGAGGGTCCAATAAGGGTCATGCCTTTTAGCTTATTTTTCTATCTGACTCAGTAGTGTCTCTACTATCCTCTCGCCTTCCCAGCAGCCCCCTTTCTTTTCCCTCTTCTGCAGCCAAATCCCATATCCTGGGAAACTGTCTCTGCAGTAAGCATGAAATCATCAGGCTAGAACTCAGGCAGAGGAGGAGGGGACAGTGCGTTCACAGCTGGGGCCCTCGCACCCAGTTCCAACTTCCTTTACTCTGTTGCCATGACGACTCACAGCTTACCAACCTCTGTGGGGTAGAATGACTTCCTCCAGCATGGGGAGGGGGCTGGATTCCAGTGGTCATTTTCCCAAGGCACCAAGAGATGGGAGGACTCCATGCCCACCACCAACCCAATCACCACATTTCATTTCAGGATAAACTGAGGGCTTCTCACACACGAGGACTTAGCTGAATTTCGCTTCAAAGCCCCAGCACCTAACACAGTGCCTGGCATACAGTAGGCGCTCAAGAAATGGTGGAGTGAATAAATAAATGCAGTGTAAATCTGACTTCCTTGACTCTCTTAATCAACAATGAGCTTCATTTAGGAGAGAGGTAAAATGGAACCAGGACTCCAGGCAACTGTCGTTCGATTTCTTCCCCACCTAACCATCTGCTTTTGGAAAACTGCAGTCTGGCCTCTCCTGATAGCATTTGTTCACCTTGACCTCAATACATCAATACACACAGGAAGGCCCAGGACCCACAGCCACAATTCATCCCCCTTCCCACCCCCAAAGTTTTGAAGTTAGTGTTGCCTCAACAAATTTGTTCATCGAAGCTCTTCTGAACCAGACCGGTTATTAATATATCAAATTCTATACGCCCTGAAAATTAATCCTTCCTTTGCAGGGACTTGCTTCCCCCCAACCATGAATTTTTCATGCCTGTCAACTCCCATCTTCTTCCCTCTTGAGGACCGCCTCTCTAGCAGAAGAAAATTGATGGAACACAAATCTGTTCAGGATCACAGCTGATTAACAGATGTCATAAAGAAAAAGATTAAAACTCTTGGCTCAGAAGTTGTTGTTTTTAAATTATCTGAGGGATTAATATACCTATTCTGTCTACCGTTAATAGGCAATTGTGAGATAATAGGAAATATATATATTGGTCTCTGGCCCTGGTTCCTGGCACAGAGCTCCCAAAACCCTTGTCATTTCCTAAGTGATAAGAACACCAGGTGTATCTCTTGTTTTAATACTTGTCTTTGAAGACAAAAACCATATGATTTCACTTCTATGGGGAATCTAAAAAATAAAATTAATGAACAAACAAAACAGAAACAAACTCATAGATACAGAGAACAAATTGATGGTTGCCAGATGGGAGGGGGTGCAGGAGGGATGTGTGAAAAAGATGAAGGGATTAAAAAGTACAGATTGGTGCCTGGCGGGGTGTGGCTCAGCGGTTGAGCATAGACTTAGGATCCAGGAGATGGTGGTTCGATTCCCGCTCAGAGCACATGCCCGGGGTTGTGGGCTCGATCCCCAGTCAGGGGCGTGCAGGAGGCAGCCGATCAATGATAACTCATCATTGATGTTTCAGAGAGAGGAAAGGAGAGGGAGAGAGAGAGAGATAGAAACATCAATGATGAGAGAGTCATTGATCGAGTCCGCAACCCGGGCACGTGCCCTGACTGGGAATTGAACCCCAATCGCCTGGATCCTAGGTCGACGCTCAACCGCTGAGCCACACCCGGCAGGGCAAGATATATATTTTTTAAAAGTACAGGTTGGTAGTTACAGAATATTCATGGGGATGTAAAGTACAGCATAGGGAACATAGTCAATAATATTGCAATTATTGGACCAATAAAACATGATAGTAAACCAAGAGTATAAATAAATGTTAATGAGCTATTCAAACCCAGGGTTTTCCTAAGCACAGATGTTTTGGGCAGGACCATTTGGCCTGGACCAAATATGCTCAAGGATGTTTTTGATAGAACCAAATTTCAGAGACCTTACGGCATGGACCAGATGTCTCCGTGGATGATGGACAGAACCAAATATCCACTAATCAAAACAACATCTACAAACTATTGACAAGTGCAGGTTCATACAATAACCATGTAAGTGTTTTAAAACCAAAACTGATTGTAGTTATTCAAAAGTGACTTCTAAACCAAATTGGGAAGGGGTGCGGCGATGTGGAGGAGGAAGTGTGTGATGTAATTCATATCCATGGGTAAATTACATCTTGATACTACTCGCCCCTTCCCCTTAAAGAGGGAGCTAAAGGAGGGAGGCAGACCTCAGACGGGGGCTTACTGTTTGAGGAGTTGTCATCAGTGAATCTTCAGCCATCAAAAGTGTAAGCCCTGAGTCATCTCTTGCTCTGGGGAAAAGGGAAGAGAGGAGATGACGAAAACACCAAGAGACAGAGTAGTGGAAGGACTTTTAAAGACATGTCTAATATTCAATATTAAGTTGTTGGCATTGCTGGGTTTTAAAGGCCCCTCCTTTGCCAGCAGCTCTTCAATAAAATCTGCGCCACAAAGACGCTCTGTCCCATGAGTGGGGTTTCTTCGCCACAGAGAATGACATTCATTTTCACATCTCCCAGCTTGTCTGGCACTTGGCAAGAAATTGATGAGTATTTATTGTAAGAGCGACAAAACAGAAGAAATGATTAATGACTAGACACAAACGAGAGCATGAAGGATGGTTCAGGAACCCAGGGTTTCTCTCGCCCTCACATTCGGGGACAACTTGAAGATGCTGAACGCACAAGGAGGTGCTTCCAGAGGGTGTGGGTTGGATGGGGAGAGGAGGCAGAGCTTTGTGAGTTTATATTTGGAGACCTAGCTATATATAGACGCTGTGGTCCGAAAGGCTCAAAGCACCTCAGCAGTAAGGCTGTGTCAGAATGGCTCACATTCGGGATGAAAGGAACGAAGCGGTGTCAAATGCTTCTGCAGAATTTCTCAGCCGCACAGAGCGAGGATCTTAAGGCCGCGCTGCGAGAGCGTGTTTCTTGGCAAACAGAGCCCTAGGCAGTCCGTTGCCACCTGTTTCGCCACAACACCCGCTAATGTTCATTCCTGACTCACGCTGGCTCACTGTTTCATAAGAGGGGGCAGCTCCGTTTCTCTCCCTGTGTCACCACGATAATTACTGAGAGCAATAACTTGAACAGTGAGAACTTACAATTCTCTGGTAACATGCAAAAGTACTGTCGCCCATAGCAAAATAACCGCCTGAGTATTGGGCAATGGACACCATTATGTTCTGCTTCAGTTTGCATGGCAAGTGTAAACCTTGGCTGTGAGTGGACTTAGACTCATTCATTCATTCATTCATTCATTCATTCATTCATTCATTCATTCATTCAGCACATACTAATAGAATACCAGTGACGTGGCAGAAAGTGTACACCATGGAGTCTAGAGTCTGGCTTCATTCCCTCCCGCATCTTGATCCAAAGGAAGGGCCTGCCAGAACAATGACCATTTGATGCTGGGCTCTACAGGAGTGATAATACATCACAGACACCCAAGAACACCTTGGCTCCCAGCTTTAAGAAGACACTATAGCCTGGCCGGGCATGGCTCAGCGGTTGAGCATCGACCTAGGATCCAGGGGATCGAGGTTCGATTCCCGGTCAGGGCACATGCCCAGGTTGCGGGCTCCATCCCCAGTCGAGGCGTGCAGGAGGCAGCCGATCAATGACTCTCTCATCACTGATGTTTCAACTCTCTCTCTACCTCTCCCTTCCTCTCTCTGAAATGAAAAATTGTAAAAAAATAAAAGACACTATATGAGGTCAAGATTCAAACCAGAAACCTCCTCCATATCCCCACAAACATGACACAGTGGGCCAATCTGGGTCTGAATCCTTGGCCTGTCCCTCACCAGCTGAGTGACCTGGCACATGTTTCTTCTCCTTTCTGAACCTCTATTGCAGGAGGTAAAATAGAAATCAGGTAGTCTAAGATCATTCGAGCAACAAAAAAAGAAGGGGTTGATGGATTTAGGAACGAAGGCAGCTCTTCATATTGGATATTCTATGCCAATCCAGACAAATTGCTCTAACTCAAAGTCTAGCACACCTGAAATGTCAGCATAAGCAGATAAGATGTTTCTCGAGAAGAAATCAATGCATGCACAAAATACCCATCTACCTTCCACAGTGACTGCAGCTCCTGATACACACGAACCTAGACGCAAACAAGACCTACTTAACACAGTTTCTAGTTTGTTGCTAAGAAACCATGACTGCCTGGTATGAGCATGACCACCGTGTGTCTTGTGTCAACTCATTATGCTAACATAATTAGAGTGAACTTAACACTGCAGAAAGAATTGTGGGATTGTGTTTTTCGTCACCTATACAGTTAGTCTATTATTGTCCAGAGGCCTAAAGGATATTTCCTAGAGCCACGTGAAAGAACAGAGAGGTCAAGGAAGAATTAAGGTCATGTGGAGGGAGGAAGGAAATACGATTCCTCACATGCCAGTCCACAAAGGCCCACCCACGGGTGGCAGCCATTCACCTTCTGTCCCTTTTCCCTTTCAGTATGGTGCTGTCATAGTGGCCAAGCGTAGACGCCTAGGGATTGACACCACCATGTAAGTAGAAGAGTGAGAGGCAATATTTCCACAATTAATGGTCATTGTCATCACCCTAAGCCACTCCCCTCTCCGGGTCGTGGGAGAGCGAAAGCTGCATTCTCCTCCCCAGGAGTGAGAGAGTCAGAGGCGATGGGCGTTTCTACCTCCTAGTGGCTCTGCCCCACAGTCCAGCCTGTCCCCAGTGGCTGGGCATCCATTAGCCTGTCAGTGGCTGCTGCTTCTCAGAATTCCGTAATCACCCTGGAACACTTGAGATGGGTTGTTTTTTTGCTGAATTTCTGAAAGACATTTCATAAATCACTTCTCTTAAGAAAGTAAATGGTCTCAAGATAACTCAAAGTTATTCACTCCCTCAGCTGGATTTAAACCCCTTACCTCGTTTCACTGGATGATCAATTTTTTAAAACATTGATCCGAGCGATGGCACACTAGCACTGGAGAGAGCACGGGGGACAGATAAGTTAGCAAATGACAATTCAGTGGGATGAGCAAACATGATCAGTATAAACACATAGGGCTGTGGGGCCCCCTGGTAGAGCAGCTGTTCTTGAATCAGACCATGCGAGTGTGTGTGTGTGTCTCAGAGAAGGAGTTCTTGAAGAGGTGACATCTGAGGACCCGCAACTGTGGCTTCTCCATCTGAGAGCAGATAGCTGGCCTCAGTCATCGTTACATCTACCCTATGCCTAGCACAGAGCTTCACACTTGGTGGCTGTGCAATGACCATGGCCCCGGGCTATCACCTACTCGGGCCTCTCAAATGACCCCTTACTATCTCAGCCTTGGGTTTCACCTTCCTCTAGCTTACTCATCCCCTAAGCCCTAGGTTAATTCATTTATGTTTGCTTAACTCTGGTTTGACTGTTTTATAGAAACCAAACCAAAACCATCTTCCAGGCTCTCGCCATGTCTTGGAAAAGGAGCTCTTCCACTCTGGGTCTAAGCAGAGCCTGGCACCCGGGGCCCATTCTGGGCATCACTGCCCTGAGAATCCTCAGACCTGTTGGGGGTTCAGTCCATTCAGGGGGCAGATGGCGGAGCTCCAGCTACAGGTGCCCACCACCCTCCACTGTCAAAGTGACAGGGCTCCTCTCAGCCATGCGGGAGTGCACCTGATCATGGGTTTTGTTCGAGGGCAGTAGTTTTCCAGGAAAGTAATACACGTGTCAGTTAAATTCATTAAGTCAGAAAAAGGGAAAAACACCTACTTCATGTGTTAGCTGCATTTTGAATGACAGCCCTTTTTTAAATATACCCAACGATAGAAAACTCAATGTGTTTAAAAGCCACCTGTTATGAATACCTAATTCACAGAGCTGTGTCACGTGCATTCTTCAACGTCCTGACCGTGGAAGCAAACTGTGTACCTTGGATTTTAATCTTCCTTAATCTCTGCTTTCGTTGGGTCACTTTTCTGTTCAAGAACTTGACCTCATGCCTAAATC